TAGAATAGAATAGAATAGAATAGAATAGAATAGAATAGAATAGAATATTGTGATATGGCTCATTTGCTGCAGGGTGAGCTGTCGTATTTCACTTTACTTAATGGTTAAATAAGAAAAAAAATCACCTTCTAATTAAATCAAAATGTAGTTTACGTGTGCCAACCTGACTAAAGTTCTATATTAAATTCTAAGTAACTCTTTGAAATCTTAGTTTTACATGTAACAATAAAACCAAAAAAGACTGAAATCTCCTTTTGTTTAACACATTGGTTGGTAAACTTGTGACTTTTTTTTAATTGTTCGTTCTTATTTTTTGTTCATGTTGGAATTCATTTTCTTTTGTTTGTCTCTTATTGTATTTTTCTTTTTCTTTGTTTAATCGCGAGTCACGGTGTTTGCCCTGCATCCCTTAAATTCAGCCTAATGCTGATTATTTTCCTGCACACGGTTAATGCCTTTCTTATTTGAAGGTAATTCTAAACAGATGCATGCAAATGGATATCAGGCTTGTAACGATTAGGACAACAGCCCTGATGGGGTATTTTTTTAGGAGGATTCGAGGCTTATTATTTACGCGCCCTTCCCAAAACCTGTTGAGGAGAAACATAGAGGTGAAAATATTTGCGCCTGTTTTTTTTTCTTGAGAAAAAAAAAAGCGCTGTTTGAATTGCGCATGATTGATGCTCGACCTAATCCTGCGCTCTTTGCCTTCCCGGGAGGTTGAGGCGCTCTTTGTGCTCCTGCGTCCCCGTGTGAGGAGAACCAAAGAGGGGGAGCGAGGGTCACAGCCATTCGGCAGGGTACATCCTCCCCACCGGCGCATCTGCATGTAAAATCGCCATTTCACCCCTCCACACTCCCTAATTGTTGCTAAAATTATTTGTGAAATTGCCTTCCACCAGGAGTGTTTTCCACGGCAATTGTCACACGATTTGAAATGCGCGGCGGGCCCGCGGAGCTGAACACGCGCGCACCTTTGCTGTCCTCTCCTGCCATATGCGCGCTTTGTGATTTATGTTGAATGGTGGCGCATTATTTCCACCATTTTAACAATTACCTTTAAGCACCAGGCCAAGTCGACCTGTTGTCATCAATCCCGCTTAGATCCTAATGTTGCGTCTAATTAAAGCGCTCCAACCATTTATTAGGCTGTTCCTGCGGCGCGCGCAATTAGTTTAATTGAAAGGTTGACAAGCTGGAGACATCTTGTAGTTTAACCTTTGGTCAGGCCTGATTCGGTCATACTTCACACACTCCAGACTCTGTTGACAGATTTATTTGATTAATTTTTTTGTTGTTGTTTTTGCAGTTTAGATATGAGTACCTGACTTTGAATAGAGACATCTTTTTATGGTTTTAGAAGTTATTTGAAACTACAGAGTTGCGCATTTTCATTGTTTGAACCCGACAGTAGAGTTTTGAACCTTTAATTTTTAGTTTGCTTTTTCCACATGATCTAATTTAGGAAAGAAAGACTCAAACGAACCTAAAATGATCAAATAAAAGAGAAGTTTTTTAATAAAATGTCAACTCCACAGGTTTGAGCTGCTGAATAATAATACAAAAACAAAAATAAAAGTCAGAATAGCATGTTTGTGGCTCTCAGGCGGGAGGCAGCAGAGAATTGAAAGTGGAATGTGCTGATTTGATTGGTCGACGGGATCCTGGATAAACCCACTCTCCTCCTTGCATAAAAGAAAAGGGCAGGGAGCCTATGGGAGCGTGCGACTGTCTCCTCCTCCGACACAAACCAAAGTTGGCCACTTAAACTACTTCCATCCAGCCAGCAGACATTCTACTGAACCCAAACTACGCCAGGGGTGGGGGGGAACCGCCGCGGTTTTATCTCATCCAAGCGCAAAGATCCGTTAGGTGACCCTCCTCCTCTGCGCTTTGTCTTTGAGGTTTTTATCTTCTGTTTTTATATTTTTGGGTCATTTCGTCGCGCCAGAGGAAAGCATCTTTTTCGTTTTCCCCCCGCAGTGGAGGAAGGGTTTGTCCAGATTCTCCGCCTGGGATTAAATTTGACGGCATCTATAGAGCATTCTGATTCAATCCGGGTTTCTTTTTTTTATTTTTATTGTCATTTGTATTATTATTATTATTATTTTTTTGCTTGGACTTTATAAAAGAAGCCTGGTCGAGGGCTTCTTTTATTTATTAACAGTTTTATAGATGATGGCTACTTTGCCGGGAACAGTGCCTCGGATGGTGCGCCCCGCGCCAGGCCAGAACTACCCCCGAACCGGCTTCCCTTTGGAAGGTGAGAGGAAGGACGTGAGGCTGTTTCCATGTTTGAACTGGTGCTGCTGCAGTGGGCACAGTTTGTTGTCGGCGACGTGCTGGGGGAGGAAAAAATAAAAAGCTGTTTGAAGGATGCGCTTTGCAGTCAGGGGTGATTAAAGTTAACCTCCTGTCATGGTCAGAAGGGAATTAGAGCTGCAGGAAATCAGGCTGAGGCCTCGCAGAGCCTCCAAAAATGTCCATTTGCTTTATTACATATTAAAGCGGATTCAGGTTGTTTAATTTGCTGCATCTATTTTTTACCAAATATGTTTAATTTAATGTAATAGCTCTCAGCACAGAAATGATCTTTAATTATTACTTCTCATTAATTATTTTATCCACAAATGCTGCATAAAAAAAACACACTTTTAAAATCTAATTTCGATTGTGACTAGATGCTCATTAGGCTGAATAAATCTGTATGGGCGGAAAAAAACATCAGTGTATTTGCATGCATTTGTGGAAACCGTCGTCCCCCCCCCCACCCCCCACCCCTCTTTTACACCCCATTTCGTGCTCAAGTGCTCTGGACAGAAATGTGCAAAAACCACGTAGCTCCCCGAGTTCCTCGAGCTGCGGGATTTGTTGGAGTGTCCTGCTGCTGGAAGTGGCCATGACACACACAGCTCAAAGGATCACATCAATATTTGTACAGCATGACTAGGAATAATCAAGGTGGGGAGTGCGGCCTTCTTTGGGGTCTCTTGAATGGGAAATTGCATCGTGAAGTGGCCTGGACGCACCCCGGCAGCCAGAAGGAGCTGCATGAATTTGGCACGAGGCTCCTTGGGAAAATGGATGATGATGATGATGATGATGATGATGATGATGATGTGTAAATGTGCCCCAGTTTCAAATCAGTAACCAATGCGCCGCAGTGTTTCATCAAACTGGTCTACTTTCAGACGAATGAACAGAGTTATTGTTGTTGTTTTTAAGACTGTTTTATTTATTTGTTTGTTTGTTTGTTGTGGCGCAGTGTCCACCCCTCTGGGCCAGGGCAGGGTGAACCAGCTCGGCGGAGTGTTCATCAACGGGAGGCCGCTGCCGAACCACATCCGGCACAAGATCGTGGAGATGGCGCACCACGGCATCCGGCCCTGCGTCATCTCGCGACAGCTGCGCGTGTCTCACGGCTGCGTCTCCAAGATTCTGTGCCGGTACCAGGAGACCGGTTCGATCCGTCCCGGGGCCATAGGAGGTAGCAAGCCCAGGGTAAGTGGCGCTCCGTGCTCAACCGGAAACAGTCTGGACCGAGAAGAAGTAGGAGGAAAAAATACAACTAAACAAACAAACACCTGACTGAACTCAAAATATGACGTGCATGGTACAAATAAAATCAACAAAATAATAATAATAATAATAATGTAATAAAGGCATTAAAGCTGTTCTTTTCCACTCGTAAAATTTTATTCCTAAATTTTCCCTCATTTTACCCCAAACCAAATATTTATTCAGTGTATTTTATTTATTTATGTATTTATTTATTTACATGTCATGTTTGTAAAGGAGAAATGGTTCTCAAACGTGTCAGCTGGTAAAATAAAGATCACAATAAATGAATAAAAATAAACAACTACAAGTTTTAAACTTTAATATTCTACTGATTATTAAAAGCTATCAAATGCATTTATTCAATTCAATTCAATTCAATTCAAAAATACTTTATTAATCCCAAAGGGAAATTATTTGTTGTTGTAACTCGTGATCCTCATTTCATTAAGAGATGTTATAGATGCTGATGGCTGTAGGCAGGAAGGAATTTAGGTGCTAAACAAACAAATAAATAAGAACTCAACACGTGAAAACAGGGTAAATATAATTCAGTACCTCAAATGTGTTTAGAATAAACTAAGTGTATCATAATACTGAAATGAATTTAAATTAAATTATATTTTTCATAAAATTTAACTTTAGGTCATAGCATTCCTCGGTTGACTGTATTAAACGTCAATTTATTTTATTATATGTTTATGCATTTATTTATTTATTTATTGGGGGAGGGTAGCCTAAAGGCCTATCAGACATTGTTTGATTTTTTTTTTTAATTGTTATCTATTTATTTGATTGTTTATTTGTATATTTATTCAGGTAGGGATAGTCTAAAAGTAATTAAGACACTATATTTCCATTAAAACAAAAAAATATTATCAAAATTTTAACACGTTTTGTTTTTAACCCGCCCCCCATTTTAAACGTAACCAATCATAATTTCAATGATAATAACACCTTGTTTTGTTCTGTTTTCTCTCTCTCCTGCCGTTCCCTCTCTTCACACCTAAAGCAGGTGGCCACGCCGGACGTGGAGAAGCGAATCGAGGAGTACAAGCGTGAGAACCCGGGTATGTTCAGCTGGGAGATCCGGGATAAGCTGCTGAAGGACGGGGTGTGCGACAGAAGCACAGTTCCTTCAGGTGAGGCTTCATCTGGTAAGCTGCACTTTTATTTTTTTTATTTTATTTTTACCTTACTCCCAGCTAACAGTAGAGCAGCCCCTCAGAATGAGCATCAACACGTTTAAGCCTCGCTCACTGATAATAAAACACCTCAGTGAGCACACCTGCAGCTGTTTGACCCAGAAAAAAAAATCCTGTTGAAATGTGGCTTCAGTGTTCTGTGCACCTCATATAACTGTGTTGACACTTTTGTTTTCCCTTCTTTAAATCAGAATTACCAGGCTTGCTGCATCATGTCAAACTTTTCTCCCTGTGCTGTCTCCTAAAACTGCATGACAGGATTACTATGGCCATTTTATGGGTTTTAAAGCTAATCACCCATTTACCTTTTTGTTGCCATTAGTGAGTTCCATCAGCCGCGTTTTGAGAGCCCGATTTGGCAAAAAAGATGACGAGGATGACTGTGATAAGAAGGATGAAGATGGAGAAAAGAAAACAAAGCATAGCATCGATGGCATCCTCGGTGATAAATGTAAGTTAACTCCAAAAAGCCTATTTCTTCCTAAAATTATTATTATTATTATTATTATTATTATTATTATTATTATCCATGTAAACTAGTAGCAAGTGACCTGACGGCCTCTTGGGAAATTCTCTGCTAAACGCAGGCAATTTGTTTTTGTTTTGTTTACTTATTTATTCCTCTTTCCTGCTTTTAACTCCGAGCCAGCAGTTGTTCATCCACTCAATTATTTATGAGGGCCTTGGCAGAAGGTATTTAGCTGCTGAAAATTAATTTGTGTGGCGCATTCCTCCTCGCTGAAGGAGCCTCTAAACGAACTGACAGTTGACCCATTTCACAATCGATGTCACTCTGACACTTTCACCACTTGTCACTTAAAGTGGAAATCGATGTTCCCATGATTATTATTTGCTCCATTAGTGGTGAAAAGAATGAGGGAAATGTGCAGGTGCTTGCCTTACAAATAATCATAAATTAGTAATAATCTCATGTGGTCGATTTGATTATGTTTGCATTTTCTATTAGCAATCCAAACATTAAATTAGATATTTAGATGGTTACCATTATATTAATAATCTCTAATGGGACAATGTACAAGAAGGCATCATTTTACTGACTTAAAAAATATTATTATTATTAGTTTAATGCGTATTGGCCACAAAGTGAGAAGCCCCCTAACGTCCTTTTTCAAACGCTTCTCTTTTGATGAATTAACTCTGGATAAAATAATAATAATAATAATAATAATAATAATAATAATAATAATAATAATAATAATAATAATAATAATAATAATACGAATAATACGAATAATAATAATAAAACACAAAAGCCTATTCCCCCACCTCCCCCTTCTAGTTTCCAAACGATGAACTTCAGAAACAAAATCTCCCCTTTATTGATGCCTTTCTCTGAAGAGTCCGCGGTAAAGCAAACCCTGGAAAGCACAAAAAGGCTGTGTCCATTCCCATTTAAGAAGCTCGTAAAAGAAAAAAAAAAAGGAGAAAAACTTTGGACAAAAGGCGAGGAGAAACATAAAAGGAGATGAATTATTCAGTACGCCCCGCTGCTAGATAGTTTTGTAATTTTGTATAATGGCTCGTTGGAGAAGAATCGGTATATAGCGTGAAAACGGTCTCTTTTTCCCGTCACACCACGCGCTAATGTTAGAGGGAAAAATGTCACCCTGTCTTTTTTTTTAGCAAATATCTCCTGTCTCCACATAGATGGGACTTTAAACCCTGGTGGTTAAAAATAACCGAAGTGTCATGGGGGAGTTTGAGCTTTACGCACAACCTTTACGCACAGCTTTTACGCACAACGCGCCCGCTGGACCGCGCGGTCGTTCTGAGCGCTCAAACTGCACATCAATGTTTTCTCTTTGACTTTTGACTTTCGCAGCCAAACATCCATAACGTCACAGCGTCGTTGTCTCTTTTAGTGCCGCTTGTTTTAAATTGGAATCGAATTAGGTTGCTATAAAAAGCGACCCACTCCGCGCGTAATGCAGTTTGCATCCGGATGGCGTTTAATAATATTAATACTTATTAGAGTAAGCAGTGGAAACGATGGTTGCTGAATAGGTGGCTGTGTTCGTGCCGGGTGTAATAGCTTGGAGGCATGGTAAGAAATGTATTTATCCCCAATCAGCCCCTCACTCCCCGAGTTTGAAGCACGGCCCTTATATGTGGAGAGGGGTTTTAACGCAGATTAAATAGAGCCTTTTATTTCTTTTCACTTTCATCTCAGAGCGGAGCTCTCTGTGGCTCGCCCAGGGCACAAAATTCATACGATTTTTTCCCCCGTTTACTTATCCAGATTTTAAGATTTTATTTATTTATTTGTTTGTTTATTAGGTCTACGTATTTGATTTTTTTTTCAAAGGTTACATCATGGATTTATCTCAGCTCTAATCTGGCTCTTATAAACTCGTGTTTAAATTATTCGCCATGTTACAATATTTTATTTTTGCTGCATGCGCGCGCACTGAGAAAACATTAATTTTTTTCAGATGGGTGATGTGAACAGTAAACAAACCCAAACAGTGCGTGTGTGGCACCACAAGAGTTTCACATTTTTGAGCAATATAGCGTGGATCAATCTTCAGGCGAGCGGAGGTCATGCGTAATTTACGCAGGAGGTAATAAAATAAAATGTTAGAAAACGGGACAAAGGGTGCACAAATGGATGCATCTGTTTTTGTTTTGCACCACTCAGAATCAGCTGGTCAGCGTTAATTTGCCACACAGATGCATCCTGCCTGACTGAGATGAGGAGGAGACAGGCGATGGACACTTCAGCAAATCGCAGGATTACCTGAGGTCCTCGGTGTAATTAAACAGATGCCAGGTGGGATTATTTCAAAGCACCGGGAAGGGAAAGTGACAGAGAGGTGGAAAAGTGTGAGGAGGAAGAGAGACAGGTTAGAACACGCGGCAAAAGAAGGTGCGCACTCGGAGAGGCGCGTAAAATGTGTCTGAGACGTTCACAATATGTAGAAATTAATTGTCTCCACATTTTTTTTGTTTGTTTATTTTTGCTTTAGGATTTGCTTCAAGTCACTTCTGTAAATGCTTGTTTTGCTTCAAACTATAATTACGCAAAACAAACAAACAAATAAAAACAATAAAAAAAAACAATCTCAGAGACAATGTTTTCCTCGAGAAACTCGTCAGAAAAAAAGAGAAAGAAACAGTTTCTGCCCATATGTGATAAATGTGTGAAAAGCTGCTCCTTTCGTGCCTTTTCACGCACGTGCGCGCGCGCCCGCTCAGTCACTAAGTGTATGGTAATATAAAGTAGCTATATTTCGGGTCTAAAGCCGCGCTGAATGAAAAGGACAGGGGAATGAAGCGAGAGACCACTTCAAACAAATCCATCTGGAACAGTGTATGAGAGAGATTCAGTGAAAGTATGGGGAACTTATTTAGCTATTAATAACGTTTTTTCCTCAGGCATTGAGAGTGACTCCATCTGCACTTTCTCGCAGCTATTTGGCTGGGTGGAAATTGAGGGAGACCCAAATGTTGGGCAGAGATAACATACCCATCATAGCCCAGACCTTGCGCTGTGCTTCACTGCATTAAACTCGGATTAACCTCCCCTGTCCCCGCAGCCACTCAAGCCACATTTCACTGGAATTTACATTGGTAGGCCTACATTTCTTATGAAGGGGGCAGGAGCAAAAAGACACGACATGGTACCTATTATTATTATTATTATTATTATTATTATTATTATTATTATTATTA